TACACTGCAGGCTTCTTGCACAAGAACTGTTTTGCACAAGAGTTCTTGTGCAAAAAGTCTTCCACAAGAGCGCGTCCACACGGCCATGTGCTTTTGCGCAAGAGCATCCATGGCAGTGTAGATGCTCTCTTGCGCAAGAAAGCTCTGATAGCCATTTTAGCCATAGGGGTTTCTTGCAGAAGAAAATCATGTTTCCTGTCTACACTGCCTCCTTGTGGAAGAGCTCTTGTGCAAGAGGGCTTATTCCTCGTGGGGAGAGGAATAACTCTTCCAGAAGAAGCCCTGTTTTCTGACGCTGTACTGTAAATTTACTTGCGCAAGAACGTGCATGCAGTGTAGACACCCAGCAAGTTTTTGCACAAGATAAGCAGATGCTTATCGGATAGTCGATAGGTTAGTTGACTAGTTGCTTCTCCCCTCTCAGGTCAGCAGCTGACCCCGGGCTCCATGCGGCGCTGCTGCTTTTAAACGCCGCAGGGAGCACGGGGCCCGCAGGGGACTGCTTGATTCCCCCACTGGCCCTGTGCTCCCCCCGGGGTCCCGGGGGGGTGGAGCCTCAGGTCAGCAGCTGACCCCGGGCTCCATGCGGCGCTGCTGCTTTTAAACGCCGCAGGGAGCACGGGGCCCGCAGGGGACTGCTTGATTCCCCCACTGGCCCTGTGCTCCCCCTGGGGCTTTCGCCTTTGAAATGTATCAGCAGCCCTGGGGATGTTGCTACATTTGAAAGGCAGAGACGCCCCTTATCGACTCATTGAATAGTCTCAGCTTGACAAAGCCCTGGCTGGGATGATTGAGTTGGGGTTGGTCCTGCCTTGGGCAGGGGGCTGGACTTGATGACCTTCTGAGGTCTCTGCCGGCTCTGTGATTCTATGAGCCAGTTAACCAAAAATTGACATCCTTGCCCCAGGCTCTGCCCCGGCTCCCTCCTGCCCCTTTGCCCCCCCCCCTTGGACGGGGAGACTCGGGCCTGGCTGGGTGGCTCTCCCGAGGATGGATCAGCTCCTGCACGTGGTGTTGGGGAGCAGCAGCACTAGGCTCGCCCCCTCACCCCCAAGCAGCGC